TTTTTGAAAAAAAAAATCACCATATCATTTCCCATAGTGGCTGCACCATTTTACATTCCCATCAGCAATAAGTTCCACTTTCTTCACATCCTTGTCAACACCTGCTATTTTTTTTATAATAGCCATCCTGATGGATGTGAAGTGGTTTCTCATTAAGTTTATGCCCAAGCATTTTAGTATATTTGATGCTCTTGTAAATTGAATTGTTTTATTAATCTCCTTTTGGATTGTTCATTGTTGTATATAAAATTGCAACTAATTTTTGTGTGATTTTGTATCTTGCAACTTTGCTGAAATCTCTTATTAGTTCTAACAGGTTTTGATTTTTGATTTTTTGGTGTGACATCTTTAGTTTCCTATATATAGGATCTTGTTATTTGTGAAAAGAGATAGTTTATTTCTTCCTTTGCAAATTAGATGCCTTTATCTCTTTTTCTTGCCTTACTGCTCTGGCTAGAACTTCCAGTGCATATTTAGGAAGCTCTTCCCACACGTGTGTGTGTGTGCGTGTGTGTGTGTGTGTGTGTGTGTGTGTGTGTGTGTGTGTCTTGGAAGAAAATATTTTCCCAAGTTACCCCAACAGACTTTCTCTTATGTCTCACAGTCAGAACTGGGTCCGTTGGCCATTCCTACCTGAAGGCAAAGCATGTAGCTAGCATGTTTATACTGATGTGAAGTGGGCTTTGCCGAGCGGGAAGAAGGTAAGAGAAATGACCCCTGAGGATAACAATCCGCCTCACTCTGTGGTTAGGATTAAACGCAGCCATGTGCATAAGGCATGGAGAGGGCTCCACCCTCATTGCTTTACTTCATTTCTCCCATGCTCTCCTTCAGGTTTCCTTCCTCATTGTTCAGCATTAGAAGAAAAATGGAAATCCAAAATTTCCTCACTTTCCCTAAACAAATGCGCTGCTTGTCTCTTCCACCCCAACTTACCTTTTGGAGTTCTGTAGCTCTAGTTTCTACAAACCATTTGGAACCTTCCCCAACCTGTCCACAAAATTCCTGACCTCAGACTGAAGAATACATTTTTATAGCCAGGCAGTCCACGGATGCTGGTTATAAGAAAGAAACTGAGAAATCTTCGTAAACAAAAAAGAAAAAAAAATCAGCGGAGTCTAGGTTATTTTTACAATGTTAACTTGCCCTAAAAAGCATCTGTTTTAGCGGAGTGAGGCTCTTTCCATACAGACCAGGAGCAAAAGGTGCCCCATGCCTGTCTGTGCCGGCGGCTGGCTGTGTGAGTCCCACAGGATGTTTCTTGCCATCAGAGTAATGACTTCAGTTTTTCCATTCCAGCCGTGGTGAAATGAATAAGAAAACTGGATCCTGCCTCTGGAAGCAGGACACGGCTCTGCACTAATCAAAAAAGGAAGATTCATTATAAGACAATAGCTCACTCTCCAGACTTTGAAGAGTTCCTAGATTTGTCAGAGCAGCTCTGAATCATTTCGTGGACTGCCGCGGGATTAGCATGGGGATACTGTACAAGCCTGACCCTCTGCAGAGAAGTTTTTCCTTAAATGAGCTCCTCTGGCTGCTCTCTGAGTCACTGCAATCCAAATCCCATAATTTCACCTTCTCTTCTAATCATTTTTCCAGACAGCTATTTTAAGGGTGAGGGGGATAGATGGAGGTAGAGATAAAAAGGGGGCCATGGCTTAACCTAGAATGCAATTCACTAAGAAGTGCCCATGAAGTACTGACACTGTAAACAGGTACAAGGAGAACAAAGCTTTTAGAAGCCTGGTTAGTAGAGATAAGGGCTTCAAAGGGCCGAACCAAGACTGACTGAACAGTGGACTCTGACCCAGTGCTGAGAGAGGGTCCCGGCCGAGCCCCTGAGTGGCTCCTCCTGTCGCACCGGGTGGAGGAGCCAGGAGAAGTCTGCTCTGCAGTCCTTTCATTTATGAACATCCAGAGACAAAATATGTTGACAATTGCAGGCCACGGTACTTGGGATTCTGGTGGACACATTGCAAAGGAAAACCAGCAGCTGTCTGAAGCGAGTTTCTCTTCCTAACATTTGGTTAATAAAGCCTCCACCATGAAAGAAACCAGATGAAAAAACCAGCCTTCATTAGGAAGGCCTGAGTGCAAGCTGGGAAAGATTAGGCTGTGTCCAAGTCAGGTGTTTTTTTGTTTGTTTGTTTGTTTTTTAATCAACTTGAACACCTCTCTGTGCCCAGCATGGACTTATGTGCTTTGAGATCATACAGAGGGAGTGGGAAGCCTGGTGCTGCCCGTGGGAGCACATGTTCTCTTTTGTCAGGGAGGCCAGTGTGACATTCAGGAAACGGAGAGAAACCTAGGGTGAGTGTGGAATTCATGCACAACTGTGCAGGGCAAGTGCAAGTGGGGTCAGAAGGACACAGAGATCTGTCTGGCATGAGTCCCTTGAGAGCAGGAGCGCCAGCTGGCTCATTCTGGTATCCTGGGCATTGTGAATCTGCCCCACAAAGTAGGAGTTTAATTGGTAAATTTCAAATAAAGGTCAGCTCTACACTTTTGTTCATGTCTATCTTATGGATAGACTTATATTTTGTACTAGTGGCCTGGTGCACAAAATTCGTGCACATGAGGGGGTGTCCCTCACCCGGGCCTGCACCCTTTCCAATCTGGGACATCCCTCTCGCAGCCTGGGACTGCTGGCTCCTAACCACTCACCTGTCTGCCTGCCCGATTGCCCCTAACCACTCTGCCTGCTGACCTGATCACCCCCAACTGCCCCACCCCCGCTGGCCTTCTTGCCCCCAACTGCCCCCCCCCTCTGGCCTGATAGCCCCCAACTGCCCTCCCCTGCCGACCTCATGACCACCAACTGCCCTCCCCTGCTGGCCTCATGCCCCCAACTGCCCTACCTGGCCGGTCTCCCAGAAGGTCTCCTGCTCTAATTAGCATATTACCCTTTTATTAGTATAGATAGGTCCTTTCCATGGACTCAACTGGAGTACAAAGTGACATGAGGAGGACTTGTTTAAAAAGTCTTGGTGAATGCAGATGCCTTCTGTGATTCTTGATTTTATGTGTCAACTTGATCGGGCCATGGTGCCCTGACGTTTGGGTCAGTCATATTCTCACGGTTTCTGTGAGGGTGTTTTTGGACGAGATTTACCTTTGCATGGGTAGGACAGAGTAAAGCAGATTGTCCTCCATAATATGGGTGGGTCTCATCCAATCAGTTGAAGGACCGAATAAAACAAAAGGCTAACCTCCCCCGAGCAAGAGGGAATTCCCCAGCAGGCAGACTCCAGGCTTCATCCGAAACATCGACTCTCCCTGGATTTCCACCAGCTGCCTTTTGGTTTGAACTGCAACTCTTTCCTGAGCCTCCAGCCTGCAGCCTCCCCCATCAGATGTTGCACTTGCTAATCCTCCACAATCATGTGAGCCAGTTCCTTACACACACACACACACACACACACACACAATTGGTTCTGTTTCTTTGTAGGACTCTGACCGATACAGCATCCTATAATAAGCTGATGGACAAGGTTGAGGTGTAACAATGTGTTTAAGCCTTTTTCCAGTCAGCTCCATACCGGAGGAGTGCGGACCTGAGGGGTGAGAGCCCAGGTCTGAAGTCAATGGGCCTCTGCCCTGCATAGCTCACCTAAAATCCGAGAAGCAACAGTTGCTCAGATGATGACAGCATTGTCAACTCCTGGTATATCAGTTTCCTTTTGCTGCTGTAACAAATTACCACACATTGTCGGGGGTACGAGGGTGGGGGTTGGGAAGGTGGAAGGTCTCCCCCTCCCCCACCCCGCCCCGCCACACACTGGGATTTTAAAACATCATAAACATATTCTCTTACTGTTCTGGAGGTCAGAAGTCTCAAATCAAGATGACAGCTTGGCTTCTGGAGGCTTCAGGGGAGGATCTGTTTCTTGCTTTTTTCAGCTTCTAGAGGCTGCCAGCATTCTTTGGATCATGGCCCCTTCCTTCCAGCACACCAACCTCTTGCTTCCGATCTCCTGTCTCTCCTATAAGTACCCAAATTATTACACTGGGCCCACTCAGGTAAACCAGGATAATCTCTCCATAGCAATCTCTTTAATTTAATCACTTCTGCAAAGTCTCTTTTGACATAGAAGTGAACATTCACCGATCTTGGGGATTAGGACATGGCTATCTTTGGGGTGGGGGTGGGCAGTATTCAGCCTACCACACCCAAGGTCACTGGTTACACATGGAAGATGAGATAGGGGAGAGGTTTCCAGGTTTCAGAGTTGGCACTTGAAACCATTTTGGGTTATTTTGGAAAAGTATTCAACTATTTGGTAAATGCAGAAAGTTGCAACAAAGAAATGCTTTCTTGGCTGCTAAAGAGACACATATGTGTTGGTGCTGTATGTTTCTTTAACAATGAAAATTCTGCTCCTAAAGTCATTGCAGAGTAAAGCTCGCCCCGCCGAAACAAATAAAATAATATAAACATGTTTTTAAAAGTATAATATTCTGGTCATCGAGGGACACAAATCTATGGGGCCTCTTGTCCTGCCATCTTTACCAAGTACTTGGTTAAGTCTCCTGTAAGTGACTTTCAGAAGGAATTCAAACCTTTTAAGATAGACCTTGAGAAGCTCCTAAACACATCCAATTCGAGTATCTTAAATCCACGCCATTGTTTACTTTCTAGAACGTTATCCCCGGGTGAGGTCTAGAGTTGTCCTGTGCTGAGTACAGTGTGAGAGGGTATCAGTCACGTTTAGTGCTTCCCTCCCGGCTGCACTGTGTGCACTCAGGGCACTGCCATAACCTTTGCTTGGTTTACTTCTAGCAGAGAAAACTTAGCTTTGACTCCATAGAAAGCAGAGAACACCAACTAAATCAGTTTTCAAAATCATCCTGATTGCTCACTTCAATGCTCAGTGATTGCTGTAGGGTAGTTTATAATAATTTCAGTAAAGACTGGGGTCTGAGCCTGGGTGATGGTTGAAAGGACTAACCTGATCTTGGGGACTCAGCCAGCTTACTCTTGTCTGGTGATGGTCCTCTCCCAGGCACTCACCCGCCCTTAGGCACAAGGGCTTTAAATAAATATCTGAGACTTGGTTCAGAGCTCAAGGATGATTTATCTTCCTCAAGGACATTTTACTATACATAGTATGCCTTTCCCTCCTCCTCTCCGCCTCCCCGGAAACTCGCATTTATCCACCTGGGATTGAACCTGGCCCCTCAGTGCAGTCCCCCTTGAAATATCCCAGTCACTTCCAGCCTCGTCAGAGGTCTTTGGCTCTGTCACTTCACCGTCCACTTCCGTGCTTTCTGCTCTTCTTTTCAAAGCTTGACTTTGTAGTTGGGGAAGAACATTTTCCTTTTGGCCAGCATCAAGTGAATCGCCATCATGGAAAAGGAGGCCAACCACGTCACGGCGCCTGTCACTGTGTAGGCGAGACCGAGGAAAAGGCTGCTGCCCCCGCTCCACGTCAGGGTGGAAAGAACGACTGACTTCTCGCCTTGGAATCTGGTGACTGGAAAGTCTAAGGAAAGGCGATCTGTTAAGGATCTGTCTTCGCACTTCTCAGCTCTACCACCCTATATCCTAAATACAGCAGGTTGAACCATATAACATTGCTGTTTTTGTAGGTCAAAACAGGGTTGAATGATTTCATATGGTCTAATCTTTATCAAGTAGTACATTATATGTTACTGTAATGAAATTAAGTAAAAACAAGGCTTCCCTCTACAACATTATCATGTACAAAAGTGATTCTGACACAGAGATCGATCAGAGTGACTTACAGACAACTGAAAATTGAACAAATATATTTAAACTGAAGGAAACAAAAAGAATACAGATAGGTTTTACAGCAAACCTGACTTTTCGTTTTATGACTCAGGAGACCCGGGGGTAGGGTGAAATCATTTTAGGCTAAGGTTTGAATTCCTACCTCAGGGAAAATTCTTCAAGTGGAGTGAAGAACAAAATAATAGTGAGCTATCGCCCTGGCTGGTGTGGCTCAGTTGGTTGAGCGCCGTCACCCTGGTTGTGGATCGGGGTGGGTGCAGGAGGAAACCTATCAATGTTTCTCTCTCACATTGTTGTTTCTCTCTCTCTTCCTCTCCCTCTAAAAACATATGAAAAAAACAGTGAGCTACATGGTGAAATATTTTTGGTGGGAAAACTAAAGATGGGGCATTCGTTTGGGTTTCGGAAAGGCCAGCATCCCTCACTGCTGGGGTGAAAGTGCTTGAAGTGGGTTTGCTATCATTAGCATTTTAATGATGTCATTTTGATTATGCATGTGGTCTGAGGTTTTTAAACATCTGGTGCCTTTTTGTAAACCAAACTAATAAACAAACAAAGGCTTCTCATAGCAACGGCACAGGACAGCAGCATTTCCCAGCAAAGTTCTCAAAAGGCCTCAGATCACTTGGCAACCTGCTATTTAAAGGCACAAGGAAACTAAGTCTCTCTTTTACGTCAAAATTCCTCATTGTCACCAGGACCTTGAGCGCCACCTCAACTCATCTGCCTGTTTTCTCTCTCCCTCAGCTCTAGCAGAGGGTCTTTTCCTCACACAAAGAACATCCTCTCTCTGTTAGAAGTGGTAGGTGATTTCTGTAGCTCAGGCTCCGTTCTCTGTGCACATCTGCCAGGCCTTGAGGCTGGGTGGGTAATATGCACCCAGGGCTTAACACGGGTAGTGCAAGGCTAGGACTGAAGCTCGAAGATTTAGACCTGAGCGTCACCAGCATTAAAATGTGACTGGCTGAAGTCACCCAAGGAGAGCTTGTCTCCAGAGGAGAAAGAGAGGATCTCCTTTGTTTGGAACACAGACTCCCCCCTTGTTCTCCTCTGCCCCAAACTCACCACCAGGCACTGTGAGGACAGCAGTTCATGACATTTGTTCCTCCCTCCTCCCTATTTCTTGATGGCAACTGCACCTGCTTTACTGGTAAGGCAATCACAGACCAAGTCAGTGGGATCAGAAGGTCCAAGTCCGGAGACCACTGTCAAGCTCCTTTTTTTTGTTGTTGTTAAATATTTTTTTATTGTCTAAAGTTTTACAAATGTCTCATTTTCCCCCAATTGACCCTCCCTCTGCCATTCCCACCCTGAGGGCAGCCCCCACTGCCCCAGTGTCTGTGTCCATTGGTTATGCAAATATGCATGCAAACAAGTCCTTTGGTTGATCTCTAATCCCCACCCCCCTCCCCTGCCATTTGTCTCTGGATCCATTTTAGTTCATCAGTTTATGTTGATCATTATATCCCACATATGAGTGAGATCATGTGATATTTATCTTTCTCCAACTGGCTTATTTAGCTTAGCATAATTCTCTCCAGTTCCATCCATGCTGTTGCAAATGGTAAAAGTTTTTTATTTTTTTATAGCAGCGTAGTATTCCATTGTGTAGATGTGCCACAGGTTTTTAACCCACTCATCTGCTGATGGGCACTTAGGCTGTTTCCAAATCTTAGCTATTATAAATTGTGCTGCTATGAACATAGGGGTGCATATATCCTTTCTGATTGGTGTTTCTGTTTTCTTGGGATATAGTCTTAGAAGTGGGAATACTGGGTCAAATGGGAGTTCCATTTTTAACTTTTTGAGGAAATTCCATACTGTCTTCCACAGTGGCTGCACCAGTCTGCATTCCCACCAGCAGTGCAAGCAACTTTTAATCTCAAATTTTTTTGGTGGGGGAGGGGAGAAGGCAGGGTTGCTGAAATGTTACTCTTTATAGCTTTCATTTTCACAGAATAGAATTAGAGGCCCTGCTAAAAGGAAGGAGCTGCAGGCAAACAGAAAGAGGCAACAAACTGACAGGTAGAGATGGTGTCACATCAATGAGGAACCTCTGACTGAGGAACATCCCTACCCCCTGTCAGGAAGGAAATGTCCTCACTCTATTCTGGATTGAAATGATGGAGCAGTCATTCACTTATCCCCAAGATTTCTCATTCAAGCTCCCCGGCAGATAAAGAAACTGAGGAGGTATTTTGTGCTAAGATCCTCTGGCCCACTGGGGGTCCCATGAACCACTCCTAGCCAGCAACCCTGAGATGCCACATGGCTGACCTCAAAGCTGTGTACAAGCCCTGGAAAGATCCTGCCTCCCAGAGATTAGTTTGAAGAATAGAAAAGTACAGAATGAAATAATTTGACAACTAGCACCCAGATGGACACTGATTTTCCTTCATTACAAAGAGAAGTAGTATAAAAGGATACTGTAGGTTATGTCGAAACTATAGTTACCAGCAGGCAAACCTTCAGTAAAATGCTGTACTCGATTGAGTTGACGGTGTAGTTTCTTGAAAGTGGGAAAGGCAGCTGTCCGCATCCACACAATGAAGTCCTCATTGATGAAGCCATTGTTCCCTGAGTCCACTTCGTCCAGTTCATAGATAGGCTTAGGCCAGTTTGGGGGCTTTGCAGTTCCTGTGGGAACAAAATAATGGACGTGGTTGGGAAAAATCACCTACCCACCTTCAGTTTTCCTTAGAGAATGAAATAACTTTTGATTTTTTGAGGAAAGAGAAATAGATATTAGAATTAAAAAAAAAAAGTGTGTGTGTGTGTGTGTGTGTGTGTGTGTGTGTGTGTGTGTATGTAACTACCTGAGTATGTAACCATTAAAAATAATGGTTATAAAGACTTAAGGACACAGGGTGGGGGGCATGATGATTATATTTTTGTAAGGTAAAAAAACAGTGGAATCTAAAATTATATGTATCTTATGTGTCCTAAATGAAGCACTGAAAAAGTAGGTAGAGCACAATAATAGTGGTCATATTCTGTGATAGGATTATATGCTCTGATAGCATCATAACTTCACTAGTGATCTAAAGAGAGTAAATGAAAATACTTGGTTAATATTTAAAGAAAAAAGAATGACAACCATTGATGAGGCAGCGGAAATGGGAACTCTTGTGTGGAACATATAAGTGTGTGGACGAACATGATCTCTGGCAAAAGAAATAAAACACACACACACACACACACACAAAACATTATTTCTGACAATTTAGGAACATGCATCAAAAGCTTTAATATATGTTGCATACATTTCAGCCCAGAAATTCTTCTAGGAATGCACTGTAAGGAAATAATCGTGGAAGTGCATGGAGATTGGGCTGCATAGATATTCTCTGCAGCACTGTGCCTAAGAGCTCAAAAAGGAGGAGGAATTGGTAAATGGGGGGAGGTAGAGAGCACAGGTGTTGCAAGTCTGTTCTAAAACCAGGAGGCCTGGCAGGTTTCAGTGCCGCAGCAATGCTGAAAGCACAGGGTGGGGGCCAGCGCCAGGGCGTGAGCCTGTTGTGTTTATTGTCATCCTCACACTGCTTACTTTACTGTGGGCATGTCTGCCATTCTTACTCCACAGCAGAATCTTGTGTACAGTGTCTTTCTCATCTTCTTTTCACAGTCCAGTGCCTGGCACATAGTAGGTGTTGAGCCCACAATCCAGGCATGTGCCCTGACCAGTAATTGAACCATGGCCTCCTGGTTCATGGGTCAATCAATGCCCAAACACTGAGCCACACCAACCAGGCAATACAGTTTTTATTATCAACTTCTGTAAGCAAAGAAACCATCAACAAAATGAAAGGCAACCCACTAAATGGGAGAACATATTTGCCAATGCTACATATGACAAGGGGTTAATTTCCAAAATATATAAAGAACACATACAACTCAACATCAAGAAGACAAACATCTCAATTCAAGGACTTAAAGAGACACTTCTCCAAAAAAGACATTTAGATGGCCTATAGACATATGAAAAATGCTCAACATCATTAATCATCAGAGAGATGCAAATGAAAACCACAATGAAATATTATCTCACCCTATCAGAATGGCTACCAAATAAAAAACAACAATTGTTGGCAAGAATGTGGAGAAAAGGGAACCTTCATGCACTGTTGGTAGGAATGCACATTTTTGTAGCCACTGTGGAAAACAGTATGAAGTTTTCTCAAAAAATTAAAAATGGAACTACCTTTTGACCCAGTGATCCCACTTTTGAGAATATATCCAAAGAACCTGAAACACTAATTTGAAAGAATACGTGTGGGATTTCTAATATGGCAGTGGAATAAGTGGAAGCTACACTGACACTCTCCCAGGACCAAACTGGAAATACAACTAAAATACAGAACTACTACCCTGAAAAATCAACTGAAGATTAGCTGGATAGAATTCTGATTACCAAGGACAGAAAGTGGAGTTTACATAGAGACTGGTGGGAAGGGCTGAGGTGTGAAAGGGCTGGCTGGAGTCCCACAGACAGCAGCTGAAATTCTGGAGGGATATCTCAGCTGTGGGGAGATCCCACTGAGAACTCTGGGAGTATTCTGTGATAGCATCATATTCTCCCCAGCAGAGAGCACCAAAACTGAGAAAGGTGCCCACATAACATCTGCCGTGAAAAGCAGCAGGGTTGCTGTCTGCCAGACAGAGATGGCTGGAAATGCAGGCAAGCTCTTAAAGGGCTAATGCACAAAATTTCATGTGCAGCCACTCACCTCGGGCTCCAGCAGAGGGAGGGCAGAGTGGACTAGAGCTGTGTGAGCAGAAGCCAGGATTGGGGGCTCTGAGGTTGAGTTTGGAGGGCAGCCACCTCGGTTTCCTGTGCTGAGTCATTTCCTCACACTGCAGAGGACATCTTTCTCCAGTAGATGTTGGAGGGATTACAATACCAGATATCAAGTTATACTACAAAGCCACTATACTCAAAACAGCCTGGTACTGGCACAAGAACAGGCATGAAGGTCAATGGAACAGAACAGAGTCCCCAGAAATTGACCCACGCCATTATGCTCAATTAATATTTGACAAACGAGGCAAGAATATACAATGGAATTAAGACAATCCTTTACAATAAAAGGCTAATATGCAAATTTCCCCCTTGACCAGGAGTTCAACCGGGAGTTCAATCAGGGGGCAGGGCCAACCAGCCAACCACCTGTGGCCTATCCCCCAGCTGGTCCCACCCCTGATTGGCCCCACTACTCCGATCGGGGGTGGGGCCAGCAGGTCAACCTCCTGCATCCCCTCCCCCTGGCCGGCCTGGCCTGATTGGCCCCAATCAAGGCTGGCTGGCTGGACCCCACCCATGCACGAATTTGTGCACCAGGCCTCTAGTCTCTTCAATAAATGGTGTTGGGAAAATTGGACAGATACATGCAAAAAATGAAACTTGGACCACCAACTTACACCATACACAAGACTAATCTAAAAATAGATAAAGGACTTAAACGTAAGTCATGAATCCATAAAAATTCTAGAAGAAACCATAGGCAGCAAAATCTCAGACATCTCTCATAGCAATATGTTTACCAATACATCTCCTAGGGCAAAGAAAACTAAGGATAAAATAAACAAATGGGACTACATTAAAATAAAAAGCTTCTACACAGCTAAAGAAACCATCAACAAAACAACAAAAAAGCCCACTGCATGGGAGAACATATTTGGCATTGATACATCTAATAAAGGGTTAATATCCAAAATATATAAAGAACTCATACAACTTAATAAAAGGAAGATAAACAATCCAATAACAAATGGGCAAAGGACCTCAATAGACACTTTTCGAAAGTGGACATACGGAAGGCCAAGAGACATATGAAAATATGCTCAAAGTCACTAGTCATCTGAGAGATGCAAATCAAAAAGACAATGAGGTATCATCTCACACTTGTCAGAATGGCTATCAACAACAACTCAACAAACGACAAGTGCTGGCGAGGATGTGGAGAAAAAGGAACCCTCGTGCACTGCTGGTGGGAATGCAGACTGGTGCAGCCAGTGTAAAACAGTATGGCATTTCCTTAAAAAATAAAAAATGGAACTCTCATTTGACCCAGTGTTCCTGCTTCTAGGAATATATCCCAGGAAAACAAAAACACCAATCAGAACATAGTATGCACACCTATGTTCATAGCAGTACAATTTTAAATAGCTAAGATTTGGAAACAGCCTAAATGCCCATCAGCAGATGAATGGATTAGAAAATTGTGGTACATCTACACAATGGAATACTACGCTGCTGTAAAAAAGAAGGAACTCCTACCATTCTCAACAGCATGGATGGACCTGGAGAGCATTATGCTAAGCAAAATAAGCCAATCAGAGAAAGATAACTATCACATGATCTCACTCATTTATAGAATATAATGAACATCATAACAGAAATAGCTACAGAGACAAAGAAGCATCAAACAGACTGTCAAATAGTGGACACAGACACTGTGTGTGGGGGGTGAGGGCATGTGTCGGGTGGTAGGGGAGCTCAGGGGGAGGTCAATGGGGGAAAAAGGAGACATATGTACTACTATTTGTAATACTTTAAACAATGATAAAAAAACCCCACAAAAACAAACAAACAAAAAAAACCCCACACAACTAGGCCCAGGAGTAAATTCAACAGAAAATAAATGCTAATAAAAGTTTAAAAAAATGGTGAAAACCTCGGAATTCAATTATATAGTGACCATTCATTCCATTTTTGCCTAAGACACTCCCAGTTTATGCCTGTTGTCTATTATCCCATCTGATAAGCACCTATCCCAAACAAATATTGTCTACAGGGTGTGAGATACCCATGTGCTTACTTTAACCTGTGATTAGTGAAAGATAACCTGAGACCCTTTCAGTCACATATTCCTGCAAGCTGCTAGACATTCCAACCAGTTAGGCCAGAGCCTCTGTCTTGGGCTAGGAGACATAAGAAGCTGTCAGATTGCAAGTCAGTGGGATCCGTGGCAAACATGGGAAATCACAGATTATGTTATACGTACATGCCGTAGTGTGGGAAATAGATGCTGAGTGGTCTTGCTGAGAGTAGTCTGAACTCTCTTGTAACATTAATTTTGTTATTCATTACATAATGTATTTATTTTATTGTTTGATATCAGTTTTTTATTTGCTAGTAAATCCCTTTAGCTGTAAAGAATAAAAAATGGAACATGTATGTTTGATGTCAAATTAAGTACAGCTTCTAAAGGAAGTTGACGAATGTGATACTTGCAAGGTTGGTTGGCATTTGGAACCATCATAGTGTCAATGACCACATGAAAATCAAAACACATAAAACTGCTACAGAGAGGGAAAACCAAGATGGCGGCATAGGTAAACACCTGAAATTGCTGCCTCGCACAACCACTTCAAAAATACAACTAAAGGACAAAACGGACATCATCCAGAACCACAGGAAGGCTGGCTGAGTGGAAATTCTACAACTAGAAGGAAAGAGAAAAGCACACTGAGACTCAGAGGAGGTGCAGAAGTAAAGTGTAAAGTGCAGAGGTATGGAGGCACGCGCAGAAAGGGCTGGCAACTGAGGACACGGTTGTCTTTTTCAATCGGGAGGGAGTGTCAAGCTCCCGACTGCTCTGAACTCCAGTTCCGGCTGAGTCTCTGGGGACCCAGACTCATACGGAGAGAAACTGGACTGTCTGGCATCGGGCGGAACTTGAGGGAGGCTTTCTCTCAGAGGTGCTTGCAGCGATTACCGCAGGACACTGAGACTCCGAGCCTCTTAGGGCAGGGCTAAGGATCAGCCATAGCTGTTTGGTCTGCCCTGTTGATTCCCTAAGACCCCCCCCCCCATCCACCCAAGCTGTGCCCAGAGGCTTTTGCATATGAATGGCCTGGCCCTTTGCAATCTAAAATTACCTAACAAACTGCTGCTGAGTTAGAGACCTGGAACATCCAAAAGAAGGCCCAAGGCCCCACAGGAGCTTGCATTGCTTCACAGCTGGGCCTCATCTGGGCACCTCCAAACCCCAAACAA